CACTTGAGGGGGGACCACCTGAGTGAGGGGTGTCATCTAAGCAGCAGGGGCTGGGGAGTTCACCCAGATGGGGGCTCTGAGGGGGGGGGGGGTGTCACCTGAGGGGGAGCCAGGGAGATCCAGGGGGTTTACCAGAGGAAGGGGGTGAGGGTAGGGAAACTCCAGGGGGGGTTCATGATTGGTCGCTTGGTGGGGGGCCTCACCTGAGCAGGAGGCTACGCTGAGGGTTACCTGAGTAGGGGAGGGCAGGATGCTCTGTGGGCTGTTACCTGGGGGGGAGGGCTTTAAGGGGTGATTACCTGTGTGCCCTGGGCCCAGTGGAGCTTCAGCTACTCCAGATCCCTCCTATCTGCCCTTCCATCCATCATTCATCCATTATCCATCCACCCACTGGACCCCTTCCCTACCCAACCCTTCCCCCCCACCCTGCTCCATGCCCCCATCCCTGCTCCACTCTTGCCACAGACACAGGACCTGCTCCCGCCGCTGGGACCACTGTCCCCCCACCCCGCACTGTCCCCACGGCCACCAATGCCTTCCCCTCCCACTCCATGTCCCCAAGGCCACCAGATCCAGCCCCATTGCCCCCCCTGGCCCCATGGGTGCCAACTCGCTGTGTCCCATCACTGGGCTGGGAGGGACAGGTGTCCCCCAAGTGTTACCATGTCCCCCCCAATGTCTTTGTCTCCCCCTCATTGTCACTGTGTCCCCACGGCCCTGGGGACAGACCCCTCTGGGACAGACACCGCACCTCCCCCCCGCTGCTCTAAACATTGATCTGCTGCCACCGGGGACCCCTGAGCAGGGAAGGGAGGGGGAACAGGACAGGGAGTGGAATGGGGGAACAGTGGTGGGAACAGGGGGACAGGGATGGGGGGACAGGGGCAGGGGACAGGGACACTGCTCCTCACTGGCCGCACTGGTGAGGGAACATGGGAAAATGAGGGACAGGAGAGGTGACATGGAGGGTCCGAGTGTCCAGAGGTGGTCTTGGGAGGTGACATGGAGGGGACGAGGGAGGGGACATGGGAGTTAGGACAGGGAGTGAGGAACAGAAATGGGAACAGAGATGGGAACAGAGATGGGAACAGTCGGGGTAGTGGGGGGGTCAAGAGGGGGAACTCTGAAAGGGCTCAGTAGGGGGGTGTCCAGGGAGGTCAGGAGGTGGGTCTGGCAGGTCAGGGCAGTCAGGGAGTGGCTGTGAGGTCCAGGGGCCTCAGGGGAGGGCTGTGGGGTCCGGGATGGTCAAGGGGTGGCAGTGAGGGTCAGAGGGGTGGGTGGCTCTGGCGGGGGGGCTCAGGGGGCCCCGTGGTACCTACACTGAGGTTATTCCCTCGGGGTCGGACCTTCCTCCGCTGCCAGAGCCGGCCCAGGTGGTGCCCGCGGAGCCGGGGAGAGACAGAGACCACCATGAACCCAGGCAGGGGGGCCAGGGGTTCTGGGGGGGGCAGGGGGAGGGTGGGAGAGCCAAGCACCAGTCGGGCGAGCAGCAGCAATGAGCAGAGCAGCCAGAGCGTCCCTGTCCCCATCCCTGTCCCCAACTTGGACATGCCAGGGTGCACAAATGGGGGCACAGACACCCCCAAGGATGGGAGGCCCACAGATCCTCAATTCGGGGGACCAGGGGGGACCAGAATAGCCTTGACTCTGCCCTGGAGCTGAGTGTCCCCACTGAGTGTGGGGACCAGTAGCTACAGGGCCACCCCCTCCACACAAGTCCCCTCTCGCCATGCTCATGCCCCCCCGCCGAAGCCCCTGAAGCCCCCCCCAGCCCAGCACAGCAGCCACTGAGGGGGAAACACCCCTGGAAGCCTCTCAGCCCAGCACTGCAGCCATTTGGGGGGGGACACAGGACACCCCCAGGTGCCACCAGTGTCCCCTCAGGAGTCCTGCCCTACCCCCCAACCCATTAGAGCTGTGGGGTTGTCCTGGGGGACACAGGGGGGTGGCCTCAGGGGGGGTCCCCTCACCTGAGGGTCGGCGGGCAGGCGGGGCATGGAGGCAGCACGGCCATGCCCCTCCATGGGCAGGTGGTCGCTGTCCGAGGGGCCGTCCTTGGGCATCTCCCGCATCTCCACCAGCTGCGGGGGAGGGGACATTGAGGAACCGCCCCCCCCGGGGCCAGGGAGGGGGCACGGGCATCAGGGACCCCGGGAGAGCCCCCGCCCCAGAGCACCAGGGGGGCATGGGCACCAGGGACAGACCCCTGGGGACATGGGAGGGGGGGATGGGGTTCAGGGGACTCCCGGGACATGGAAATGGGGGACACGGGATTCAAGGGACCCTGGGGGACATGGTGGGGGAGGTGGGGCTCAGGGGACCGCCGGGGGAGGCAGGGAGAGAAGCCCCCAGTCCCCAGCGTGCCCCCCGTGGTGCCCCCCAGCCACTCACCTGGGAGTTGGGGCGGCTGTTGGGGACGTCGTCGGGGTGGCCCCGCTCAGGGCTCCAGGTGCCCGTTCTCTGGAACATCTCCTGGGCACGTTGGGTCACCCATGACTGGCTCTCCTTCATGTCCCGCGGAGCCCTGGGGGGACACGGGCGCTGGGACCCCCTGTGGGGCACAGGGGGAGCACAGGGGCGGCAGAGGGGACACGGTGGCACTTACGGCTCCGCCGAGGGCACCGCATCCGGCCCTGGGGGCCCCTCCTGGGAGGGGGATGGTGGCTCCATCCGCTGGAACATCAGTGGGGTTCGGTTCTGTGGGGACACAGAGGGTGGGATGGGAACACCGGGACTAGGGGACACAGGGAGGGGACAGGGATGGGATGGCCAGGGATGGGATGGGGACACCGAAGGGGACAGAAGCTGGAACAGGGGCACATAGGAGGGGATGGGGGACACTGCAGGGTGACAGGGAGGGAACACCAGGCCGCACCTGCTCCTCACGCATGGCCTGCAGCTTCTTGGCCTTGCTCTGCCGATAGTACTCCATGATCATCATGGCCGCGTAGATCTTCCCCACTGTCAGGTCGGTGGCTGCAGGGACACCGGGGGGTCAGGGGGGACAGGGACACCGTGGCGACAGAGTGGGCACAGGGGCAGGGCAGCCCCTTACACTTGTGGGGGGTGACAAGCAGGTCCAGGTTTTTGGGAGATAAGTTGGGCCAGATGGCGATCATCTCCTTGCGCAGCTCCGCGTCCATCTGCTGCTTGTCGGCCCCGCCTGTGGGGACACGGGTGACCCTGGGGACCCTTGGGGACACCTCAGGGACCCCTTGCCCTCCCCAGCCTTGTGGGGACCCCTCTGGCCCCTGGCAGGGACACTGATGTCCCGTGTCACCCGTTCTCAGGGGTATCCATCCCTGGGCTCCCTGTTCTCTGTCCCTCCACCCCCAGGGACCTTTGTCACCCAAGGGACCCCTGTCCCCATGTCCCCAGGGTGTGCCCCTCTCCCCCATGTCCCCCATGTCCCTATATCCCTCCATGTCCCTGTGTCGCTCCATGTCTCCTAGGGTCCCCACGTCCCCATATCCCTCCCTATCTCCCCCCATCCTGTCCCCACGTCCCCCCCCTGCCTTTGGCGATCTTGATGTCCAGGGCTGTCCTGATCAGGGCCATGAGGGTGGAGTTGAAGTGCACAGTGTTGTCATCAGCCACCGGCAGGTCCATGCGGAGCAGCCGCTGAGGGAAGGCCCCCAAATTGGGGGGAGGGTCAGTTGGCATCCCCGAAGCCCCCAACCCCGGGGGAGGCTGATGAGAAGGCGGGGGCTGCCCCAC